TCCAAGATAATAAGTGGAGAGACAGACTGACTACTGGATCTTTGTTCATGAAATTAACACCCAACATGTGTAATAGAAATGATACAAAATCGATACCACAGATATGGATTATTTTGCTGCTGTTCAAAACAAAGAATATGAGGTGACAGGACTTTGAGAATCAGATGTCAAAAGTTTTGTGATTACTTTAGTACGAATATGATCAATTATTTATGCCAAAAATGTCATCAAGTATATAATACTGTATAACTATACACTATATCAAAAAGGGAGTGCCAGAGTGCCAAAACATTACACTGAGACAACCTTGACCATTTCCAAAGCACCAGATATTATCATTCATGCTTCCTACCCAGAAACTCAGTAGTTAATTAGGTGGCCTCTGGAATCATTCTAGATAGTCATTTGATTTTTCCTTGACTTATTATGCAATAAATCGATTTCGACCCCACAAACAGTTTATTCTTGAATGGTGAATTGTCTGAGAAAATATATCTACCAGTCAAATATTACACGTGACAATGGAATAATGATGTACTGTGTTCGTCTCCTTATTCATATACTACCACATCATATTTCTCTCATATATATTTCTCTTCAAATCTTCTTTATGTCCAGTTAGTTCACAGTCTGACCTTTGGGGAATAAAACCAAGCTCCATAATGTTATCTACAGATGAAGGGAGTCAACATTTTCAAGGAGCGCATAGTAATCAGATAATAATAATAATGATAATAATAATAGCTGCCTATTTGTACACAACAAGTGTGGTACAGTGTGGAATCCTCAGCATGTATAATTCGAAATAATCATTACATCTGAACAGTGTTAATAATAACAGTAATAAAAGTCACTATGTAAAACAGGTACTTGGTATTACATTAGCGTCTGGTTTGCACCGGTGAATGAATAGAATATCGAGCGTAATTTTGGTGGTGGTTGTTTATTCAACCAGTACCAAGATCTGCAATTAGACATATTTATCAAAAGAATAGTAATGTACAGTATTTCTGTGTATTTACAAACGCATTTCTTACTGGCGTATTGTTTATTATTTCTCTTGTTGTTAGCCTGAAAAATGGCAGTTTGAAACCATTTTAAAAGCATGCAAGAGTATATGACACATTTAAAAGATTGAAACTAATTGAAAATAAGGAATTTGATGAAGTATATTTGGTGGAAATTTTTCAGTAGCCCAATGTTTAAGCAGCCTGTTGGTGGTCCAGTTCCTATACTTATGTTCAACTGTTTTGTGAATGTTTAAAATTGCTTCAAAGTTATTTTGCATTATAGCCTGCCCAAATTATCTAAATAAAATGAATAACATATATACAAACCCGACATCTACTGACACAATTGTAGCCGTTATACATATAAAACGCTATCAAAGTAGATCGACGGACAGATTTATTTGATAGACAAACAGGCATTTATAATGAAGAGTAAAGGTGTTTCAAATAAATTTTCATCTTAAGGATTGCTTCTAATTTTAGTGTGTAGGTGTTCATTAATGAATGAAGCTTATCATATGAATAAATAAACACATAACGCACAACCAAACAAACAAAAGGTAGATGGAAGATAAAAACAGTGGAGTTCGTTATCTTTTTTAGATAGTGAGTGAACAGGTGAAAAGGAATAGAAAAATTGGAAGAATAAAGTGAGCAGATTATAAATAGTCGATTGAAAATTTGGGAAAAAAAGTATTCGATCGACTTTGTTCGATAACGAAAATAAGAAGCAAAATGTCAAATCGTATATGTTTTAGTCCTATATTTATAACATTTGGTTTATTTGAAAAGATTGTGAGAAGCTGTGAAGAATAAGTTCGATTAACAGGTTTTTTCTTCAAAAAAACTGTCTGTTCATCTCATTATTCAGACATAAGGTATCAACAGGAGAGAAGAAATTTACACCACAGAAACACTGTGATTGTCGGAAAAATCATAAAAGACTCACATCACAATCAGCAGTCAACTGACAAATTCGCACGCTTGATATTATTTTCATCTCAGAGGGAAATTATTTGCATCCAAAACGTTTAGAATTCAGTTATTCATTGATTTTCTTTTCTGAAAATGGTATGGAATTAGCAGTAGGGAACTGTGTAATACGAGTAATGTGAATATGCTTCTCTAAGAATGTTGCTTGTCATTGAATAGTAATATCCGTCTATCTGGAGTTTTCCAAAGGCACGTATAACTACTATAGTCATTGGTGAATTACCACTAAAATGAAAACGCTAGGAGATCACAAGGAGAGGCTAAACGCATTTGGGATAAGCAAGCTTTATACGGGTAGAAGACCGCTTTCCAATTAGTCAAGAAACTGGAGAAACTGAATAGTACGACATAGCATACTTAAAAACATCCTAGTTCATTTGAACAGTAATATCATTTCTTGAAACCCTGATCTATTAATTTCCCTCTTAAAGGACAGAAAACACCTGAAGATGTTGTCCTAGAATGATAATCATTTTAGGCTTAGTTTAATGACATTCCATATGGTTACAAGATTGAATTCTGTATATATACCAGCGAGTAGTTTGGGGATGAATAAAGAGAAAAATATTGGCAAAGAGAATTCCCCAAGATGAGTATGTAACCACTACTGTTACTAGAACATTCACTGTTAAATGCCTCAGCCAGAATCTAATCAATGTCGCATTAAAATATTTTGAACAAGTTTGCATTCATAAGTAGAATGTATTTATTGTATTTATTCATATCTGTCTCTTACTTCCATATGAATAAAAATCTGTATTAATATATGTTCATTATAAAATATTTCAAACCAGCTCTTAGTTTGCCACTAGGGAAATTACTTCGCGTTTTTTCGTAGACTAGTTTGCTCAGGCTCTTAGCATTGGTATCATTATTCGATTTCACAAGACTTTCCTGTAACCAGCTTCCACAAGTCCTATCAACAAATGATTGGTGGTGTTGAATTATGTTAAATAGATTACTCAAATGAAATGGATTTCCTATCGTTCAAGACATTACTTTTGGTATCAAATGCGATATATGCGCTTTTTAATATCTTCACATATGCTAATACAGTTTGTCCAGCGTACTTGTATTCAAAAACTTATAATGATAAGTTTGTTCTAAGTTACCATTCAAAGTGTTGGAAATCTTAATCGAATGAATATGCGAAAATTTTACACCTTAAAATACAGATCGGTTTATTTTGATAACCAGTGATCTATGTGGTAAGCTTAGGATCTTTCTAGCATTCTTAGCGTTCTATTAGTAATAAATGCTGGAATTTGAGTCGATAGATGTTCTGCTGACTTTTTTTTACCTTTCAAGTATTTACTTTCTACAACATACATACATTTATTTAATGAAATAATTTTGTGGTACATTTTAGGTGGTATGTACGCAACTTTGAAATAAAAGAAGTATCATTCTATTATCCAATTCTCTTAGTTCTGGCCTCCTTTGAAATAATTAAGGGAACAAAATGTGCGAAGTCACTTATTTAGAGATGAAATGTTTCAATTACTGGAGGAATAATTCTCAGCTAGGTACAGTCGACAAATTATTCATAGAATTGTAGACTGACTAACATCTTAAAATGTTTCATTGTAGTAAGTTTAGTAACAAGCACGCCTTTCACTGTGAATGCTCAGTATCTGTTATTATAGATCATTTGAATGTCAAAAGTTAAATATCTTTTTGGAAGCATTAGTAAGAGATGCCACAGGAACTACCTCCTGAACTGAGTATCTGTCTGAAACATCTTATCACAACCTACGTTGCTTCACAATGAAAGTAATCAGTTCCTTCAAACCCACTCAAATGAGTAACAAAAGTCTACCGATCATCAACAATTTAATTTCAGATAATGTGTCTGTATTAAAATAGGTGAATTTGACACATGTAGTTGGTCAATTTGGAAAAGTAAAAGGTGGTGATTACAGATGAAATCTGTGATGCACCATAAGTTGTATGGACATAAATTGCTGGTGCTTAATTCTGAAACAAAAGCTCACCAGTAATCAGTTAAGTAAGATCAAAACTCCGGACTTCTGATGTAGTAAGGGATCCATGACAGGGAATAAGCACCGTTTCAAAAAGAAGATGGAACAGCTGTGCAATTCTTATAAGTTTTAATAGGCTACAAACCATTTAGAAGAGGTAGTAAATTATCATTTTGTTGATCTAACAATCGCTATTCAAAAGCGGTAGTCATGAAATCTTTATTGTAGCACAAAAATATAGCTAATTAATTATTAAAATTGTATGCACACGTGACTGAGTATTGATGTACTCCAGAAGGATACAAATTTTCTAAACACAAAGAAACAACTATATATATATATATATATATATGTTACTTCCACTTCTTCTGAAAAAAGAAGTCCTGGACGGTGACCTTTCTACTCTTAAAAGATGTATGGGAAAACTGATCACTAGTTTTAGAAAAATTTCTGAATTAATATGATTAAAATACAAATTACAATAATTTCAAACCATAGTTTCATGTTACATAACTTATTGTAATCACTATTTAAACTGGTTCATACATACATACGTACGTTTGTTTGTTTGGTAAGGTTTCTGTGCGTATGTGTACATGTCAAAAATCAAGAGAAGCCTAATTGACAATCTTATTTTCCAGTTACACATATCATTTATTTTGTGAATTTTTTTATAATGATTCACTGTTTCAGTTTAAATATTTTCAAGCATTATTGATGAAGGTCAACTTTTGCGAACATACATCAGGTATAAAAACGTCTATTGTTTAAAAAAATGCATAAATATCTGACTTTCCTATACACAAACTTTAAACACTACAAATATTTTTATATAAAATGAAAGAAAATTATTGTTTGAGAAAGTTATTATCAATTTACAAAGCAAACGAAAAGACTATCCAAAATGATATTTATGCACTTGTTTCTTTGTTCTGACTAGCATTTCCATGACCGTATGTCCAAAATCCTTCTGTCTCAGCTTTACGACCTGCAATAGGTGCAACTCTTGGACTATTCAGTAGGCATCATGAATATTTTTACTCTGTTTGAATTTATAATTAATTGAGATATTTTTTTGATCTGATATTTGTTGAACTTTAAAGTACAGTTCTTTTATATCCGATGGAGTATGGTTCAGATTCAATGACGCCTGAGAAAGTGATTCGTCTTGATAGGTTTTCAAACGATGTTGTTGTAGGCTTTGTTGATTCTGTTTCTGCTGTTGGTCAGTATAGTTTTTGTCTGATTCCCCTTCCTTGTCAGCAGCAAGAATATCATCTTCATGGTTACCCATGGCATTTTCTTCTTCACAAGTGTTATTAAGGTCATCGTCAAGATCATCATCATATTCTTCCTCCTCCTCATTTTGACTAAAATTTGACGAACTTGTACTTCTGCTTCTTGACAAGTTGTCGGGATTGAGTAACCTTCCAGTACACCCTTCTGAATTGTCATTAGGAGTCAAATAAAATGATTAGTTTTCAGTGTGTATTTGTTCATCTCATCACTAGTTACATCATCATTATTACTTTCATAAGGAATGTTATCATCTTCGTCTTCCTCTTCTTCATTATTCTCTTCGTCATCATCAACACCATAATGAATTTGTTTTGGTCGAACTAATTCGGAACTGTATTGTTGACAATATTCATTAGATTGATGTCGCTGATTTCTGCAGTCTTCCCGATCATCAAATGAGGAGCGTTCATCTGAGAATAGCCCAAATGAATATTGACGCAGTGGAATGTTTGTTTGTGATTTGCATTTATATTCCAAACTTGAATTTTCTACATATTTACTACAAACAGAAGAATCATGGGGATGGTGATGTTCCCTTAGACCAGACGATAAACAAGCTCTTTCATTCCCATCTAAATACTTCAGATGTTGAATGGGTTGGTGTATTATTTGACTTTGGTCTTTACTAAATGAAAAGTTGAGTGCGTTATCTTTATTCAGTTTGTTTGATCTGAATGATGTTGAAATAACATTATCATCAGCACTGTTAGTCATATTACTCAAAGTTACATCTCCATCATCGAAAAACTGTTGATTAGATAAGCATAACTCTGGTGAACGCGTATCCAGGTTAATAGGATTAGTGATTACACCAGCTGAGAGTGAAATATGTGTTTTATGAGGTGTTAGCTCCTGAAAATTGTTTTGACGTCTCAGTTTATATGATGATACCTGCTTATGCTTTTTGTTTAATATCTGATTATATGAGCAGGTATCTGATTTAGCACCATCAGAATTGTATAGTGTTGTAAACGAAGCTACAACAGCATCATCAGGTGAGTAAATCAAGCTACTTAACTGTTGTTTAACTTGTTGTTGATGACGTGGACTTTTTTGAGAATGTTCTGTACAATATAATGATTTATTAGACTTAAGGGAATATTGGCGATTTTCTCCTGATATATTTGTGCTATTTCCAGTACCAGTATTAGTAGATGTACTTGATGTACCAGTAGGTTTGAGTATTGAAGGACTGGATTTTGAAGTATTCTGTAGTGATTTTATACTGCTACTATTCACAGGTGAATCAGAAGAAAATGTTATATTCGACTTATTAGCAGTCTGTTCCATTGGTTTTGGTTTAAAATATCGATAAACAGGGGTCATACGTGTTGAATTATTTTGATTTAATGGATCATATTCAGCAATATCCCCAGATGCAAAATTGAAGGATGCATAACAAGGTACAACTAAAAAATGTGGCAAAGTAAACAGAAACCAAAATTAGTGTACTAACTATTATATATAAATATATATATATTTAATATGT